GGGGCGGGTCCTCGCTTTAACGGCGGCGGCGGCCGAGCCCTCATTTGTTCATATCTGTGTCAATTTTTTTCTCTCGCCGCTCACAGGTATGAGCTGGAACGGAGGCGTCGTTATGGAAATGGAGGAGAAGAGGAAGAAGAGGAAGAGGAGGAGGAAGAGGAGGAGGAAGAGGACCCAGAATAATGAAGGGGTTCCTGGGAAGACCAGGGAGGAGTGTGGGCCGTCTGGGGGGGCGGGAACCGCCACTTGAATCGGCTCAAATGACAGTGTTTAACGGAAGAGGGTTGATGAGAGCAGAGGTGGTGACGATTGGACCAATCAGGAGGAGAGCAGCACTGAGTGATACTGCAGTACTACAGATATTCACAGTACGTACGGTGGGCAGAGTACACGCATCAGGAGACGACAAAAACGTTTTTTTTTTCATCGTCAACTTCAGATTTTTTCCTCGACTTTTGTCGATCGTTAACTTCAGTGATTTTTGATCAACACAGATCTGGACAGAGCGGGATTTGAACCAGCAACTCTGTAAGATACAGATGAGATACTGATTCTAAACAGACTGGGCCACAAACAGGGTCACGAACCAGAGGTTGTTTGTTTTGACTGCGTGGAGGTTTCACTGACGACTGAATGATAATATTTCCTCCGACTCTTTGCCTCTTGTCGTGTTGAATCGCGTGCGTCGACAGCAGCAGCAGACGGCGCCTGGCGTGCGACGACCGCCGTCTTCCTCCTGCTCCTTCAAATTAAGCTCAGAGAGGAGGTAATATACGGCGTAATTGACAAGAGGCAGCCGACGGAGGTAACATCTCCTGAGGAGATCTGCCTCAAAGCCGTCTCCACATCCCAGGAAAAAAACACGGAGCATAAATAGTTTAATTGGAACCAAATCGTCAAGAGGGAGACGGGTTTGAACGCCACGTCCTCACACCCAGTGGAGGAACTGATTTTTTTTTTTTTCAGGAGGAACATCTGCTTAAGTGTGTGTTTCTGTGGAAGTTCCAGAGGGAGGGAGAGGGGGGAGGAGGGGGAGGGAGGAGGAGGGGAGACAAAATATGGCTGAATTTATCATCGAAAACAGACACTTTTCTCAGAGAATTTCAATCGTCATCTCTCAGCTTTACACCATCGATCCGATTCGTGATTTTAGCGACACCTCATGGGCGTTGGTTCTAATGACAGTCCAAACTGACAAGTGGGACACACCTGGTGTCCTTACGGTGAAGACATTACCGATGTCTCAAAGTACCAGTCCAGATTTTGGGGCCGAGCGACACTTGTCGGTGTCAAAGCTCTGCTCACTTTCTGTCCAGAAAACTCTGATTTGAATCATCTTTTATTTTATTTTATTTGAATTTATATATTTATTCGTTTTTTTTAACATATATCATCAGTGTCAACTTACGAAGTAAACGTGTCAGTACTCGTTATTGCTGAGTACACAAGTGAAAATACCGGTATGGAAATACGTTTCCAAGAAAGACAAACTCTGGTTGCTATGGCAACCGTGTTGGTAAGACTAGTTTCTGTGGGACCTACGTGGTAAAGTGGACCCCGAGAGTGGGACACGTAAAAACACTGGCTGCTGCTGCTGCTTTAAAATAATCAGATAATTCTGCTTCCTGTTTTTAAGACCCTCTGGCGTCCGTCCCTCTGGCGTCCGTCCCTCTGGCGTCCGTCCCTCGACGCGCTGCGTTTTCACCGGAGCCACGACCTTGTGGTCAGTTTGTCTAAGCCGGGTGAAGGCCGCGGGCTGAATGTGTGGTCAAGTGCAGCGAGGATTAGTGTCTCCTTTAATAGAATCCTGGGATAAATCCCCGCGGCTGATCACATGGGCGCTCCTTCTTCTCCTCCTCCTCCTCCTCCCCCCTCCCCCCCCCCTCCCCCCCCCTCCTCCTCTCCCCCCCTCTCTCCTCTCC